TTCAGTCGTTATTGAAAAATAGCTGATTTAAAATCTCCCCTCCATTAAAATGCATGATTTTCGCGTATAAGAGGCACAGTGTGCCTCGCACAGTTCGACGCAACTTCGTTGCGCGTGAACTTGGCGCGAGGCACTACCGTGCCTCTTGATTAAATAATTTTTCTTAACACAACAAAGCGACAATTGATTCAAGTGCGGAACGCGCAGAATTTCGCGCGTTCTTTGAGCGAATTAAAAATGCAAAGAGAAGGTCAACACGTCACGTCCAAGTCCGCTGAAACAAATTTTTAATAATATAATAAATATTTACACACATATTTTTCTGTCTCCTGGCTCGAAAAAAAAATCGAGAAAAGAGGAAAAACGTATGAGGAGACGTGTTGAGGCTTTTGAGGGACGTCGAAGGGACGATAGAGCAGATCTTCGCCGAAGGGTAGGCAATGCGCCAGGTCCTCAAGCTGCGTACACCCTTCGTCCTTCGCAACGAGGGACGGTACTCGACCACTGAATCAACCTCTCAGTGCCTTCTCGTCTCTTCCGTCTTCCCTCGACCAACGACACCCTCTCTCGCTCCAACGCTCCACAACGCTACGTGATTATTTCAAAAAGCTCGTAAGCACGAGATGAGCTTCCACCCTCTCGTCGTCACCGCCCTCATGTCGCGCCAAAGTTACGTTCCGGCGAAACATTTTTACGCCGCCTGCGTACGTCTCGCGCAAAGGAACCCGAGTTCCTTTTTTTATCCACCTTTTCCTTACCTCTTTCGGCCCGCGGCGTCGGGGTAGGTTAGTCGTCATATGACGGATCGTTTATCTCCTTAAACATGCGGAACATTGCTGAATTCCGTGAAGCGTCGGAGCGCGCAATCTTTACGACGATAGAGAAAGGGAGCGCGCGCGTAGACGTTTTTTTTCTTTTTTCTAAACCGTCTTGATTAAAATCGAGCAAAATTTATGGTCGAGATAGGAATTTTAAAAGTGAAATGCAACCTTCAAGAAAAGAGAAGAAAGATAATAAGATGAATGATGTGATGATAAGGAAAATAATATTCTCACAACATCAATATTCCCGCGTTTTTCTCATTCAGAAATTTAATTTTGTTTACGTGTATAGTTTTTTTGTTGCAATCTATTCGTAAAATAAAAAACAAAAAAAAATCCACGCGCGTGCAACGAGCGAGAAAAGGACGTTTCATCGAGTGTCAGGTTAAATAGATCAGTCACGACTATTATCGGATAAACGACCTGTGTTAGAAAGTCAACGCTACGTCATTTAATGACACTCACAAAGCCATCAGCACTAGTCGGTCTCTTCCTGCAGCCAGTGTCAATGTAATGTGTCAAACATTATTGTACCACGTTGACCTTAAATCAGCCGGGCATGTGGGTTCATATAAAAATCGCGCACGAGGTGTCTGCACACAAATAATTTGTCTTTTCCGTTTTTTTTTTTTTTTTTTTAATACAGCTATCTGTAAATTTTTTTAATTGGAGCAACGTCAAACAAGCCAGTTTGCGGTCACCAAACATGACGGTGACCAAAAGAACCGAATGATAATAATATGCAAACATGCGAGCAAAATAAAGAGTAATTAAGAGCGTATACTAAAAGCAATTGCGTTGCAATTGAATCCGTCATTAGTAGAGAAAGTAATTCAGACAGCTTCTGACACATCTCAAGAGCGTATTATATTATATCACTTAATTAAAACCACTTACGAGAAGAAGGCGTGGTCTCGCAATTCTTAATGACGTTACGTAAAAAACAAAACAAAAAAATCAGATAAAAAGAGCGTTTCCAATCAGCACGTGTATGTTGGAGAAGGCAAATATATTTATTCTCATTTAAGTAATTAAAAGTCACGTAAGTTAAGCATCGAATACACATGTATCACAAAAAATTTCGAAAAAAATCGGATATTAACGGAATACACACTCTGTGCAGTTGGCCTGGACTGCCGGTCGCGTTACCGTCACCAGCTTCGCCATCCGCGGTAATCGTCTCGCCGGAAACACTGTCTAGACACAGCAGCAGCTCACCCTCTCGCGTTCACCGGCCACCCCAGTTCGCGTTGGCCCTGCCATGCTCCTCGCAACCGATTCCGGCGGTCTGCTACCCGGCGCCGACCTTTCTCGAGGTCACCGACGAGCGGAAGTGGAAGAACCTTGGATGGTGAGTGGCGAAGCGAATCATTTTACCATAATATCGAGGTCGATGTACTTCTTATCAAAGTAGCCCCTCTCGGATATTCTGTTGACATTTTGACGCACCCGAGTGCGTGAATTGATTTTCCACGGTAATTAGACACAACATTTAGATTTATTAATTTTCAAACGAGAAGCTTAATTATTTGTTTGTACAACAGAGAAGGTTGCGCTGTGTAATGGATTTCCCGGTAGCGCGGAGCTCGGTTGTCATTAATATTAATTGGATTATTAAAATCCAGACATTTGCGCACAGATTATTAATAACGCTCCGCCGAAATATTATTCAATAACATATGATTTCACGAGGCAACGGAGTGACTTTAGCAAAAATGTTATATTTATTCAGAAAACGCATTAATTTGGACCAATGATTTATAATGCAGGTGGATCGTTGCGGACAAAATTTTTCGCCGAAAAAGTCGTCGAAGGTAGAGTTTCTCTTCTCTCGTTCGAGTTCGTTCTACGACGGACGTTTCGCGAATATTCGTCATTCGAAAATTTGCTCTTGTTTTAGACAGTGTATATATATATACACACGCGTAGGGGGAATGCCGGTCGCCACGGAAATTTCACGTGATCCTCCAGGTTATCCTGCCCGACGACGTCTGCATCGCAATTACCGGTACTTTATGAATCAAATACACGCGTACAGGCGACCACGCGATTACTCGTAATTGAGCCAATTCTTACGGGGGTGGATGTATTTGCGGCCAATGGTACCTCCGCTGTAATGTTACACGATGATAGGCATCGAGCTGACGATTCATCGTACGTATCGCGCGCTCTCTGCCCTCAATCTCCCATTTTCAATGATTTCTCCGAAAAGACACATCCTCGTAGCTGGCAGGTCATGGCCAAGAAGAAAATAACAATAATTTTATCAGGTGTTTTGTCACGACAGAAATAATTGATCACATACAAGAAGATTTGAAGAAGAGAATGAGAATATTTTTCACGGCAATTAATTAAAACTGGATTTATACGGACGCGGCAATGATTAATTATCCAACGAGAGACGATACTCGCGGGTTTTAAAATCCCTTCTTGATAAAATCTCGACGTGGATACAAACGGCCGGATTTATTTATATAGAATTTCTCGTCAATTCGTTCCGAATGGTGATCCGTTTGATAGACGGCGAAGTAGCGACAGAAGAGAAACGCGATTCCTTCGAGCCGGAGATGGATCTATTTCCTCGAGCGAGGATTTAATCCTCGCGCGCGACGCGAATCCGCATTTCGTTCAGTTTCAATTTCCGTTTTTACTGCAGTGACGCCCTGGCAACCACCTTGAGCGCGTTGTACGGAAAACTTCTGGTTGTGATGGGGATCGCCTTTCCCATGGCGGAAGTGATATCCACGTACATACCGCCGTCTTTCTACGAGGCTTTTTATCTCTATCTATACTTCGGCAGCATGATCTTCCTCGTATACATGTACGCCATGTTGTTCACGGGCAGCAAGAAACCAAGTAAGTTATTTTATTCAGTTTTCCCCCTTTTTCCACTTACCCCGGACGAGTGAAGTTATCCGATCTTGTATATAGAAAGTATCGATTCACTCGCGGGAAAAAGAATAACATGCGTTTTGTTCCGTTAGAAAAGCTACGCGTGTAAAAGCAGATAACGATCTTCGAGATCAGACGCAAAATAGTGCCGCCTTGACAATCGCAGTCCTACATTCCGATCAATCTACGTCCACGCACACAATTACGCGACATTATACATCACCTCGATGACGATCCCTCTCCCACCCTCTCGCTTCATTCCTCATCGGAATTCCTCTCTCGCCAAAACGAGAGCGATCGCCGAGGCTACGACGATTTTGAAACGAAACACGTGGACACGATCTCGTTGTAGCGTAATTGATTAATTAAGTAGATTCGCATGGAATTGACCGATTCGTGTTGTAAATTGCGCGAAACAGAAAAGCAGAAAGACGTGTGCGATCTTGACTCGTCGAGATCGTCGAGCGGCGCCGGTGGCGACAGCGACGCGCCTGAGACCGGATGTCATCACATATCCGGTCGTCCGGTCCAGCACTACGGGAGCTTCTACCTGCGAATGGGCGCCGTGGCATTCGGTATCGGATCGATGATCTACTCGGGACTGGAATTCGGTCAGTACTTTGAGCTGGAACAGAACACTAAGTGTCACAACATCATGCTGGCCCTCACGCCCGCCACGAGGATGGCCTTCATCTTCATCCAGATGTACTTCATATTTCTGAACAACGAGGTGAGTGAGCGTTGAGTGTGACACTGTATATAGTATGGAAGTTGTCGCGCAACTCTCGCGACCTTAATTTTGACGACGGACCGTTTAATTGGTGTTTGGAGTTTAGTACTTAGCGAGAATGTCGCAAAACCTGTATGTCGCCATTTACAGTAGAGTCATTACGTTAAATGACTCTCTGAATAAGAAAATCTTAAAATAAAATTATATCTGAAGCAGAATGTATGTAAAATTATTTTTTAAATTGACATTTTGTAATTTTTACCATTAAAATATGTTTTACGAATAAATAAAATATGTATAGAAAAACAACGTATCGATTTCTTGAGAATCGCTGCACATGTTGTATATCGGAAAACTGATGGTGTTGTAACTCGATGGGGAATTCACTGATGGGAGCAAACACAAGCTCCTCGGTTACAGGGTTAATGAAACAGAAGGGTGAACAACCCTGAGTAGAGCATGGCTTCAGTATCCCATCGATATGTAACAAACTGATCAGCATTTTCTGCTGTTAGTATCAATTTTCTTGGAATTAAATTTCTACATTGATTGATTTTTTATTTCGCTAGATCTAGAAAACAAAAATAATTTTTATCACAAGTAACAAGATACTTCTAGTATAAAAAAAAAAAAAGAAAAATCAGTAGTAAATTATACTCGTACAATAAACTATAATTTCTATAGAATCAAGACGTTTATATTTACAGTTTTTAATAATTTGTTTTTTTATTTTATTTTAATGAGCCATAAAAGTAAAAAGAAAAAAACAATAATTCACTGCTAAATAATAAAATAATAAAATTTCATCGTATTTTTCAGCAAATGAAGGTATATCGGCACCGCGTTGTCGCACGCTTCGGACTAATGCACATGATCGGCACGAATCTGTCAGTCTGGCTGAACGTTCTCGTGCAGGAAACGAAACACGAGATCCTCACATTCTACAATCCGGAAAACAACTCTCTCAGAATTTCTCACAGATTAGGTAAACGCCTTTTCTTCGTTCGAACGACTTCTGACTTTTGAATCTGACTCTTGAACTTTCAGGCTCGAAAGGTGGACTTCACGGACTCGGCGGTCACACTCATTCTCATCACGGGGAACACGTGCGACTTCCGCGCGGTCTCAAAGGACCTCATCATATGTTCGAGTGTAGGAGGACGAATATAATGGGATCGTTGGTGCAAGACGCGAGTCCTTTTCTCTTCCCGTGCACAATAGAGTACAGCCTAATCTGCGCGGCCATTTTATACGTTATGTGGAAAAACATATCGAAAGCCGGATTTACGCAACCAACGACGCCGCCGGGCTCGCGTCACCACGCACACGCCTATAGGTAATAGTATATAACAATACGCGCGCCTACGTTTGTAGTAACAAAACACGTCTGCCGCACGCGCGCCGCGGCAACACAATAAGCACGACGTTCGCACGCAAATGACAACCTAGTTTGCGAACTAATTTCTGTCGGTGCGCACGGCTCACCATAAAGTCCATCGTAATATCCTTATTCACAAAGCGAGACGCTAATGGAATTTATATTATACAAAATGTCGCGAATTTGCGCCTGTATGTTACCGCAACAGAAAAACGAAGATCTTGACTGTTCGCAGGAAATCGCCTCACCACTACAGCGTGGACTGCGCCCGCGCGCACAAGGGCCTCTTCGTGGGGATCCTGATTCTGGTACTGACCATAATCTCTCTGATCCTCTTCTTCGTCCTAATCTCGCGGCCCGAGCTGGTCAGCCTTGCCGTAACCGAGGTGAACATCTGCGAGCTGACGCTCTACGGGATGTCCACCATGGCGACGCTGATCGGCATGTTCCAGATGCGCAAACTGCGCTACGACGGCGGTAGGAATCTGGAGCTGGACAACATCCTTCTGGTGGCCGCGCAGACCGGGATGTTCATCTATTCCACGTTCACCATCATCGGCGGCCACTTCACTCTGCAAAAGCACACGGTCCTCGTGCTGGTCACCGCGCTGGCCAGCGTCGTTCAGACCACCTGTCAGACTATTTTCATCCTGGACGCGTCCAGACGCTCGGTAGCCACCGCCGAGCAGATACGCAGAAAACCGGGCAGAGAGATCGTCACGTTTCTGCTGGTGACGAATCTGGCTATGTGGGCGATCAACACGCTGGAGAAGTCCCGGGCGGAATCGCATCCGGTGCAGCTGCACTTTTACGGCCTGTGGGCGTGGACGATCATCACCCACGTCTCGATGCCGTTGGCGATCTTCTACAGGTTCCACAGCACCGTGTGTCTGTGCGAGGTGTGGAAGCGGGCCTACAAGGTGAAGCCGACCTACATGTGACGTAAGGGGTCCCGTGAGGTCGTATGGAAGACCGGGGGGCTCCCGCAGCGGCCCAAGAGTCAACAGTCGAGGTTGGACGCGATCGCGGAGAACGATCCGGCGTACTTCATATGATCGAGAGAGACGTCGAAGCGCGAAAGGATCGTCGGGACGGCCGCGAGGACCGTGTTGTAGAACGAAAACTCCGTCGAGCGGCGATAAGAAGTAGACATCGATAGTTTTTAGATGGACAGAACTTTTCTCTAGACGTTTAAAACACGATTAACGTGTGACGTACACACACACATACACACACGACAGTTCATATTTAAACACAAAGTAATTTGCATCGGCTCCAGAATATCTCGAGATAACTAACGATATTTCATAAATTGATAGACTTGTAAGAGCGTCTGGATGTTATTAACGATATTGCATAATACAATCTATCGGAGAAGAACACGTCGGCAAAGAGGTGCTCGCAAAGATAAACTGTCTCATAAAAGTACAGTAGCTTACCTTTGTAATTTATCGGAGATCGATGCCCCTAGTTAGCCTCGCATAGATCTTTTTAACTCACTGTCACTCTTTTAACTACAAAAAAAAAAAAAAACTAAGCCATTTATAAAGGACTATCAATGACAAGAGATCAAAAAGGGAATTAATAAATCTATTAAGAAAAAACTGAATGATGTAAAGCAAACTGACAAGGAGAAGAGTGTATCTTTAGAAATGTCGAGAGACACCCCCCTTTCACGACCTCTTTACGATCCTTTTGCCGCGATAAGCCGATTTATCGAGATACAATGTTATATACGATCTCGTTGATCTCTCGATTACGTTTTTTTTTTTTTTTTTTCAGAGATCGCGACGTAAATAATCCTCTTATCCGCCGGCGATACCTGTAAATAGCCTCTATTGACTACACCGTGAATGCAAAATGCGTACACACGGGAATGAAGAGATCCGCACAAATCGCACGAGCGCATTTAGTGCAGAATCTCGGGTTTTACGCGACAAAAGGGCGTGTGTAAGCGTCGATATATCTATTCCTCACAGCTTTTTCTCTGAGCAACGATCCCAACAAAGCAGACCTGACAACGCCAACTCTCCGTAGAGTCGACGTTCGTTCATTCTTTCATTCGAAGAAAGAATAACGTTCAACATCGCGACACAGTGTAGCGATATAAACGACCTTTATCTCTTATTATCGATCCCACCGTGCGAATCGAGAGGAGAGATAAGAGAGGGAACCGTTTATCACAATGAGGAAGAATATCTGGAGAGTGAAACAATCATTCGTACTTCTCGAACTTCGTCGTCTAACTGGTCAGACTGAACACAAAAAAAAAAAAAATCAAATCTCCTCGAAATGAGATTGACAAGCAACTTTTTTTGATATTTCTTTCAAATTCTCTCAAGTCTCTGAGAATACTCACGTGTGTTTCTTCAATTTAATCGATCGAAAATCCGATCTGACAAAGTTGAACAATCACTATTGAAAAAAAATATAAAAAAATAAAAACAATCGTCACCCTAGCTGTAGATTCGAATTATCTCTCGCTGAAATTAATCGCACGACTATTATACGAAATAAAAATGTCCACTCGTTAGAAGTAGAAAAAGATTAGACGAGTTTTGTAGAAATTTAATCCGATCGAAGTTATAATCCGCTTCGATCCAAACAACGGGAACAATGAATCTTCGTTCGATAAACACTTTTCTATCTACTTTTCTATATCCCGAGTATGTGAGATTCCTTTTCGTCTATTTATATATAGAGGAGAGTTGGATTTTTCCAACTCTCTTTCGCGAAGACTGAAACGAACTTGAGAAAATCGATATCAGGAGAAACTCGGATACTCTAAATCCTGATCCACTTGAAACCGAGTGAATATATGTAGACGCAGACCTGATCATTCGGTGCTCGCACACAAACTCTCAAGGTACTTGAACACGGACATCCGTCTTCCACGTAGTACAAACCGCAGCTTACAACAATCGTCGCGTCCACGCAAATGATTTTTCGAGAAGAAAAAATTCCGGCGGTGCGAGAAATAGATTGCGAGTATGTTCGATAAGAGTAAAAAAAAAGACAATAGTACCGGTGATACTACACGCGCGAATTTTCTCGTGATAAAACACATTAAAATTATTCCGACGTGAACAATAATGGTACAAATCATGAATTTATCTAATATCGATAAACGGTAATTTTGTTTTCGCAGTGCAATTGCACGAGTATTTCCACACCCCGATTTTCTATTCGGCAAACTCGAAGTCCATACTTATCTCGCGAACTTTTGTACTTTCGAGCGATACTTGCACGCTGTTCACGTAATTCGAGCAAGAAGACCACGTGTAGAACTTGTTAAAAATATTATAAAAGAAATCTCAAATCTTCAGAGAATTTTAATCCTTTTATACATGTAAAAAAAAATATATATATATCCAAAAGGAAGATATAATTTTAAAATACGTAATCGTGTAGAACCCGATTCATATAGAGACGAAAAAAAAGTAATTAGCCTCGCGTTAGAAATCACCTGTGACGTACGGATGTTGTTTTTTTTTTTTTGTTTTTATTTGTCGGCGTTGCGAATTATCAAGAGAAAATTTATTTTACATCAAAAAAAAAAAAAAAAAGGAGTTGATCACGACAGGATCACGAGACGACGATGCGCGAATATCTATTGCGAGTCTCGTAATTTGCGGAGCTTGTAGATGAACAAAGCGATAGAGGCAGAAAGTAAAGACGTGCGAATACGTAACAGTACAACGGCTGATCATATCACTAAGCCTTAAAATCCGTCGAGAAGAGTGCTGTCCGAACTCTGATAGGAGATAAAGGGGATCAAGATTGATCGCGCTCCCTCGCGATCTTTGAGAAACTGAAGCGAGACCTATTACTCGAGTTTCTTTTATGCTCAACTGATAGATGTGATGACGAGAGAAGATCACAGAGCGAAGCACGCGAGACAGCGATCGTACGAACGAATCGACACGTACGGTACGCGTGTGTGTGTGTGTGCATGAGTGCGTGCGTGCGTGCGTGTGCACTAGTTGTGTACTTGATGTATGTGTGTGTGTGTATGTGTGGAGGCGCGTATGTGTGTTGCACGTGGAATGAGAAAAAAACAAGAAGAAAAAAAGAGAGAAAGGAGGGAAAGTCGAGATTTAACACGGAAATGTAGGCGTTCATAGGTAAATACGTGTTTCGTGCTAGAAGCTTTGACATTGATTATCGCCGTTGCGAATTATTATTATTATTATAGTTATTTGGTCGGTGCAGTCGGATTTTTTGTAAAATATAGTTTCTCTAAGAACGGCTGTAAATAAATGGAAGGAGAATATACAATAAAAAAAAAAAAAGGAAAAAAACAAGTTCTCTTGGTGTTTAGCGCTAGTCGTGTCGAAATGTTTCTTCCTATATAGCATATATATATATAATATATATATATATATATACACACATATTTATATATATACAAAATATAAATATATTTATATTATTACGTTATTCTATTATAATATTTATTATAACATTTAATATAGGTTTTACGCGGGACATGTTACGTTTATTGAGAGAATCCATGATGAAGATTCGTGTCGAGATCGCACAAGTTTCTTCTCTGTCCTTCACTTCTTTGCACACACACATTGTCTTCGTCCTAAATATAATAGTTGAAATATCGTATACTCTAAGTGACACCCTATGGGAAAAAAAAAATATATATATATATATAAGAAATATTATATATATTTAAACAAAGTATAAATCTTTAAAAAAAAAAAGATATTAAATAAACGATTTAATTGTTGTATAATCTATTTATAAAATGATTGTTCTAAATGTTGCTTGACAAATGTTGTGAAGTAAAATCTTCTGCGGGAAGCGAAGCGAGCTTCCCTCTTTCCTCTCTCGTTGACGCGTTTACACGATCTCGGCACGAATTTTCTCTTTTCGTAAAAATGATAAAATCATAAGGGCGAAGTCACGAAGGACGCAATTCGCATTCGCGAGTGATATAAGAGGAAAACGGAGAGTTCTCTTTACTATATATCACGTCTTTAAAACTGTACTTTTTCTATGTCCGCATAACCTAGTTCCTACGCAATGTTTGTACTCTTATACCCTTTGTACTATTTGTACCTTACGAATTGCAATACACTCGTCCGCAATAACGAAACGTTTCTTATTATTTTTTTCCACTCACAATCCTAATATATATAGTCGTAGTATATTGATTCTCAATATGTTTGAAAGTATACAAAAGTAACAAAACGTTGAATTAAAATAAACCGCAAGGTAGAAAAGCAAAGCCGGAGACAATACCTCGATCGTGGGCTATTCAAAAAAAAGCCTTTAAAATCGGACTTTCTACGTAATAAGAATCTTCGAAACTAGGCTTCGTGAACGGCCATTATCAATGCGACGGCGAATAATTCAAATAGCGGCGAATCGTGTCCGAGCAATTGCAGTCGACCTGAATACTCGCGATTCCGAAGTCGATTCCGCGAGTGTACGTTCGTGATCTCTCGGTGTTGAGGCGAGAGATAGGCCTTACCTCGGGTCTCAAGGTCATCCGGTAACTGACCCTCAAACCGAATCTAATGGAAGCGAAGTCGATTCGCGCGTCGCGACTTTCTCCTCGCGCGGGAAAACATCAATCCATCTCGCGCAAATTGAGTATCTGGAAACGTATCAATTTAACAACACCGGTTCTCGATAGATGAATCGTGACCGCACAGCAATTTAATTATCATCATTCTGACACGCTACAATTTTATATGGCGCGTTTGAGTTTTCGCAATGTGTTTTTTTATTATCCACTCAGATATTAAACACGTGGAAAAATAGAGGTTTGCGGTAAAAAGTCATTAATAATCTTTTATCATCGCGCATCTCAATTAGGCGTTTTAATTAACTCAATTATTTGATAATGAATTACGATATTAATTAATTGCGTCATTAATAATAATAAGTATTGCCTCTCTAACCACCATAAATTTTATGAGCCTCTGTAATATATTGTATTACGATGAGTGTACATATATATCGGCGTAATAAATTAACTAAAGTAATCCAACGCTTTTACGTATCATCGTAGACAGAAGATATATAATAACTGTGTGAAGGTTTCATATAAAATATACGTGTTGACGTGGCAGAGCGCTCCCTTGAGTGCTCTTGAGAGACGTAATTGATAAATGGAGTACGCGCGCTTAATTACTCTATCGTCAAGTAAATTCGATCGATTGAAATGCCTCCTTTTAATTCGCGCAACTATTAAGATCATCACCACACGGCAATTGGTTTATCTTCGATGCGATCAAACTGCTGCCAAATATGATTCCACTTTTAATTGAGGATCATGTATTTACGGAATATAATGCGCACACATGGAATATCTACATTTTCGGTTTACGCCGAGATTAAACGAATAAATTATCAATAATATAATCTCACGCGCGCTGATAAATCGCGCACACATTGCGTGCATCATTGTTTTAATTTTATATTAAATTAGACGCGAGTTACTTTTCATGAAACTTGCACAATCTCATCTAAAATTGAAACGATAATATTCTGCGCCACGAAGCAGAATTTTTGCAGCAGCAACGCGAGATGCCCCCGTGAAACCGCGCGAGAGAGAGAGAGAGCTGCAAAAA